AATGTCCGACTGCAGCTTAGGCCTCCTCGCTGCTGGCAAGTGGACATCCCCCAAGGGCTCCTGGGCTGCTAGAGGAATGTCTGACTGCCAGCTTAGGCCAGATCCTCCGGGGAGCAGGCCTAAGCCAGCAGGTGGCCATCCCCCGAGGGGTCCCAGACTGCGAGAGGGCACAGGCCGGGCTGCCCACCACCCCCCAGTGCACGAATTTTTGTGCACCGGGCCTCTAGTACATATATATATATTCTAATATCCTTGCTTGCACTACTTCCTCAGTATGTATTTCTGGGTAATTGAATAGTAGTATACAAAATAGGCTAGCTATAGGGTAGTGATACTTTATATTTAAAAATATAACAGGATTCTGGCTTAACTTGACAATAAATTTCCATTTAATACTATTATGAATTTCTTATAGATTAAGTCAATTCAAGCAGTTTTCAGAAAAGTGGCTTCTCAAAAAGTAATCTTTTTTAAAGATTTTTTATTATTTTTAGAGAAAAGGTAAGGGAGAAGAAGAGAGAAAGAGAAACATCCATGTGAGAGTGAAATATTAATCGGCTGCCTCCTGCACACCTCCTACCTAGGACCGAACCTGCATGCTGCGCATGTGCCCTGATTAGTAATCGAACTGGCAACCTTTTGGTGCACAGGGTTACGCCCAGCCAACAGCCACACCAGCCAGGGCTCTGCTGATTTTGGAACCAGCCATGAAATAACTCTTCCTTTAATTATACTGTTCCCTCTGCTTGTTGTGCCCTTCATTTTCAGTGACAGGCACATCTTATACATCCCTTGAAATTTAGCTGGAGTTACTGCTTTGTGTGTAACTTGTACTATATAGCCTGTGTCCCAGTTTTTTAATCTGTGAAATGGGGATAACAGTACCTATCTCAGGGTTGTAGTCAGGATAAAATGCTTTGATACCTAAAAGTACTTAGTTCTTGGCACCTGTTGAGTACTCAACGAACATTAGCTGTTGCTGCTATTGTTCATTGTTTACACGTCAAATTCCATTAGACTATGAATTCATTGAACACTGAAATGTGTTGTTTGTTGCTGTTTTTTTGTGTTCCTTTTATAGGCTAATAGCTGGAATATTTAAGAAGAATTTTTACCTTGAATGAATGAATCATTCATTGCTCAGTCTTCATCATTGATTTAATGTTTCTCATTAGAGTATTTTAAATGTCATTAAATACTTCATGTTAAATTTTTTGTAATGTTTCAGAATGAAGATTTATTAAATGAAATAAAACAACTTAAAGAGGAAATAAAGAAAAAAGATGAAAAAATCCAACTATTAGAACATCAGCTTGTAAGTATTATAATATAGTATGTGAAGACTTTTTAAACTGAGCAATATAAAACTATAGCCAGAATTTAAATTTGACTTTATTTTTGGCTTCCAAAGTTGCACTATTATATTATTTTTAGATTATGTGCACTCTAAAAGTATGTAGTTTAACTTACAGTCTAAATAGTAAATATTCAAGGTAAAAAAAATCTTTGTCCATTCATTTTCAGTGGCCTTATGTTTTGGGGTTTTTAAATTCACCAATTTACAATCATTTTATTGATAAAGGGTAAATGTCTTTTCTTAATGTGATTTTAAAGAAGTGAGTACTGGTGAGCTGAGAACAAGGTGTTTTCTCTCCTCTGATAGCAGAAGGAAACTGGATTATGAGACTGTGGTACCAGTACAGCTGTCTATTAGAGACCGTGAAGAGTGTTCTAAGAAAATGGTTCTCCTCCATGGATGATGCTGAGTAGAATCTTTATAATTGTGTAGTGGTTACAGATTCAGATATAGTTCCATATGAAAACAACATATACACTCTCTCAATGTTAAATATAATTTAGTTTCTAATAATATAAAAGGCCAGGATAACAAGAACATAATGGCATAAAAATACCAACAAGCCAAGGAAAATCTTTGTTGGAAATGAAAAGCATATCAATAAAAACTAGGTTTTCCGAATTATGGCAAACTAAGATACTTGCCAAATCTTACTCTTCGTCTGATAGCACACAGACACAGAGAGGAACTTATTTCCAGTATCGCACTAGTCAAGAGAGACTAAGTCATATGCTTGCCTTAAGATGAATGGTTTATATTATCTTTCCTTCTTTACACACTTCCTGTATATGTGAAAAGTCCTATTGCAGTGAATACCTAGAGACTCTTCAATCGACTCTTGAATAGAACAACATGGGATTGAACTGTATGGGTCCACTTATACACAGTTTTTTGTGTGTTTTTTCAGTAAATTCATACAGTATTATAAGTGTATTTTCCTTATGATTTTCTTAATATTGTTTTCTTTTCTGGAGCTTTATTATAAGAATACAGTATATATCCACTCATCTGAGATCAACCAAATTGCATAACCCATGGACACAGACAACAGTGCGGTGAAGGCCTGGTGGGGGTGGCAGTGGGCTAGAAGAGGTCAATGGGGAAGAAGGGGACATGTGTAATACTTTAAATATTAAAGTTTTTTTTAAAAAGAATACAGTATATAATACATATAACATATAAAATATGTGTTAACTGTTTATGTTGTTATGGCTCTGGTCAACAGAAGGCTGTAAGTAAACCTTTTGGGGAGTCAAAAGTTATATGCAGATTTTCAACTGCACAGGAGGTTGACACACCTAAACCCCACATTGTTCAATAGTCAATTATATATTGAATTTTGTTTCAATGACCGTCTGTCTCATTTCTTAGGAATTGGAAATGTGTCTGTATTACAAGAAATGGAAAATGTCACTACTTAGTGATTTTTTTTGTTTTAATTAGATTTTATTTTGTAAGTGGAAATTGGAATGATCCAATTACAATTAATATAAATTTTGAATATTGGTAATTATTTTTAAAGTAGAAACTTGTAATTTTAGCTTGATGCAATAGTTAAGAATTTGTTATATAAGTATCCCTACAAGAAAGTATATTTACCTCTATTGGAGTTATTTAACAAATAATAAGGTTATATTCCAACTTCCCACTGAAGAAAAATTCTCATTATCAGTCTTTTTATTTGTAAAAAATTTTGATATTATTTGAAAGACCAAAGTTTACACAATAGATACATTACTTTGTGTTGTATAAGTGACTAAATGAGTATGCTTTGAGTAGAATCATGTGTAGAGAATTCATTTGTGAACTGAGATGCCAAGATAGATCTTGTCAAAGGACAGAGATCCTTCAGAGTTTTCCAGTCCAATAAAGTCAGCACATGATTAAAGGAGCTTAAAGCACTGGACCTGTGAAAAGACTTACTTGTGGGCTGGGGTATTTAATATCCAGTAGAGTCCAATAAAAAATGAAATTAAGAAATTGTGCTGCAGTTATTATAGTAGCATCATAGTTTAGGGAAATACTTAAAATCTTACAATTTTATTCTTTAGATGCTATGTATTGTTATATATATTCTACATCTATATATATATATATAGTACTGCATCTGTATGTATAAAGTCATAGGTAGTATGTTTTATGGATAATAAAGGAGATTTCCAAAGGTAATTTTAACTATTCAAAATTGTAAGCTGACTCTAGGACCCAATCTCTGAATAAGACAGGAGACTATTTACCCCCTAAGAGAGACCCCTAATTACTTTGTCCATGTATAGGTGTATGAAAAATTATACCACTATAAAAAATTGTGTTTTTGTCCAGGCAACTCAGTGTAACTGCCACCAAAAATCTAAAGAGGAAAAATGCACATATGCCGATAAATATACCCAAACATCCTGGAGAAGAATTCCTGTAAGTAATTAACCCCTTTTCTTGTCATTTACTGTTTTGCTGTTTTGTTCCACCTTTTTTACTCTAATCTCTAAAAATTTTGAGTCGGCCATGGCTGTTAATTTTTTTTAAGTTGTCTTTTTCTTGTCTCTTAGGTGTATATGTGCTTTCTAAAGCTTCTCTTGTGTGTCTTACATAAGTGAATGTGCAATTAATAGCTTTTCCATTCTGCACACTGTAACCCATTTTATTTGAGTGTCAAGTCTTCTTTTATTGCCTATATTTATGAGAGTATTATTCCCCCATACCCTTAAAGAAACAGAAGTCCAAAATGCAGCCTTCCTTCTAGCAGCAAATGACTCTGAAAATATATGAGCCACGTATTCTTTTTTTTGTTGAAATTTTTCAAATAGATTTTATTAGAATTTCTCAAATGTTGAGGCTGTTAGGAAGTATAAATGCATTAGGAGATAGGCAGTAAAGGTTATGTTTTAGACATGGTTAGGAAATGGTTTGTTCTAAACAGTAGAAAATAACCATGCAGCTTTTCCTTCTTTGTTGTTTTTTAGGGTTACATCTCAAAACATAGTTAGTGCTAGAATACACTGACCATAATTTAACCTCAGTTTTTCTAAACTTAGTTCAGGTTGTGTCTGAGCCAGAGAGTCATCAGATGGCCACAATCCTTATCCTATGGCATATGCTACAGGTAGCTACTTCTTGTTAAGAGAATGCCTAATTACCCAGCTTTGACTCTTCTTTTGTCTTATTTTGGCAGTGGAATCCTAGTAGCACAAATGAACAAGAACCTATAATGGTTAATAATCAGCAATCCAGTTTTTAAAACTTAGATGTAGACCTTTAAAGTTTGTAAGTTATTTCTTTTCATCTAATTAACAATTTTTGTGTGCTCTGTATAAATATAATGCTGATAATTTATTCAACATAAGTTTGGTGAGCCTCTCCCATCAACTGACTTTTGAACTAGAGTGAGGATTTGGGGAAGGAAATACCAAGTAAGGGGACTCCGCTATTAACAAGTGCTTATTAAAGACAGTGGTGATGGAATATTTCTTTAAGTCAAAGGATGTGGAAACTTATTTGTTTAGAAACAATTGCAAAATGAAAGACCGTGCCTCTTGTTCTAGACGGAGCTTTGGGCCTTGTAGGTTTCTCCAGGATCTTCTCAGGCCCAACACTCTCCTAACATTGTCACTAAGTGGAGTGTGACTTCATTAAGTGTGGAGTCCCATCTTCCTGGGAGTTTATACCATCTCTGGCTCCTCAGCTTCACTCTTCTGGAAACTGGAGATTGATTACTTGCAGGCCTGCTCACCAGAAAAAAAGTAAATGGTGTAAAACACTCCAAGACATTCCTGAATATATTCCTGAGATAGTTTCACTGTAATCTTGAGGGAAGTGATGGTCAGATTTTCAGCCTAATGCACCTAACAAACCCAGACTTTATGCTTCCTTGTTATCCTTTATTATAAGAATCACCTGGCTGAATACCTTTGTTTTATAGATAAGGGAGATTAAATGTCATAGTAAAGTCTCCTAATTAACCAGTGGCTGAAATAGTACTGTTAACTTCAGACTGCTGACTTTCAGTCCAGGGTTCCTTCCCCACAAAGCACCCTGAGGAGCCTGAAGAACTGAGAGGGGTTGCAGATTGAAATGGGAGATATTTATATAGAGTTGGGCAAAGTCAGGACATGATTTTGGCAGGAACACAGACATATGTTTAGAGAAATAGGTGAAGATAGTGTTAAAGTTCCTTTAAAACAGTGGTTCTTAACCTTCTGGCCCTTTAAATACAGTTCCTCATGTGACCCAACCATAAAATTATTTTCGTTGCCACTTCATAACTTTAATGTTGCTACTCTTAGGAATCGTAATGTAAATATCTGATATGCAGGATGGTCTTAGGCAACCTCTGTGAAAGGGTCGTTTGACCGCCAAAGGGGTCACAACCCACAGGTTGAGAACCGCTGCTTTAAAAGATAGAATTTAAAAATTTACCTAGGAGTTAGTGAGAAAGTAGTTGCATTTATTTAAAGGAATAGTTACATATATTTATTTAATCACTTTAATGTTAACTGTTAAATATTAATATTAAATATTGAGTTTATTCCCTGATTTTTATGTTCTTTGGACTTTGATGGATTCATCCTATATAATAAAAGCCTAATATGCTAAGTGTCCAGTCATCCAGTCATCCGTTCAACCAGTCAAAGCATAATATGCTAATGATATGCTAAGGCCACTTAACTGCTCGCTATGACATGCACTGACCACCAGGGGGCAGACAGTCAACTGGTCAACCATTCGCAATGATGTGCACTGACCACCAAGGAGCAAATGCTCCGACTGGTAGGTTAGCTTGTTGCTGGGGTCTGGCCAATCAGGACTGAGTGAGATGTACTGGACACACCCTGGATCCCTCCTGCAGTCCCCCCCACCCCCAGCTGGTCAACTTCCCACGTTCCTCCCCAGCCCCAATTGTGCACTGGTGGGGACCCTCAGCCTGGCCTGTGCCCTCACACAATCCGGGACCCCTTGGGGGATGTCGGAGAGCTGGTTTTGGCCCAATCCCGCAGGCCAGGCTGAGGGACCCCACTAGTGCACGAATTCTAGTTTAAATTATTTTGGAAACCATTTACTATTATAACAAAGATTTTATTTTTTATTTTAAAAGTTACACTTGATTCTTTTTTAGCAAGGACCCAACATATTTAAACAAGATGTTGATTACGGGAATGGAGAGATTCAGTGGGACTCTTTGGCAACATCTAGTTTGTCAGGTGGTGATTTTGGGAATCAAAGCATGTTATATTAAAAATATTTCCCAAGTTTAGTGTAGGTTTTGTTTGTCTTTTTAACTCTGGCTAAGCCTTTGGGAAGATTGAAAGTAATGATCTGAGTACTTGTTCTTCACCATTCCCTGCAATATCTTGGGACAGTTAAATGCCCTTCTTGACACTCTCCTAGTTAGTTGAGGGTTATAGAATGTGTCTCAGAGATTTGTGAGGCACATGTAACCATTTCCTGTGACCATTTCCTGGAATAGGAGGAAGAAATCTGGCTGCAAGGGAAGGCAGAGGATGATGGAGGAGAAAGCTACTCCCTGTAATACTTGGGAATGGCTATTTAGGATGTGGAAAGAAATAGGAAAAAATAGACATTGCAGGCAGAGCCTTTCTGAAGAGGGAGAGTGGAGGGCCACTGACAGCAGCAGAGCAATGGAATGTGAATGTGTTGGACCCAACATAAGTTTTCATAAATTTTTTCCTAAGAATTTTGGTATCACCTAATTGCTGAAAATAAATTTTTAAATTCAAGAACCAACAGGAATACGAGGATGAAATAAGGTATTAGAACAGGGAAAGGAAGAAAAGCAGATATCCACTTACTTACAGATATTTGTGCACCCACCCTATTCCGGGCACTGTCGTAATCTGAGAGTGGAAGATGAAAAGGGTGCACACAGGCCCAGGCCTCAAGATGCTTACAGAAACCTCCAGTGGGCCGAGAATGGTGTTACTCTCACTCTCTTCCTGCATGGAAGAGACTGGGACCAAGAAGCAAATTATGCAATTTGGACACAGCAGTCTGAGGCCAGAAGCAGGCTTTCTGACTTGTAGGTAACGTCTTAGTTGCCTGCCTTTGAGTGGCAGCAAGAGGTGAGAAGGGTGCAGGAAACAGGAGGAAGGATCTGAGCCCTGGAACGAGGACTCAGGCTTGGTCTAGTGAGAGGTCAAGATGACAACTGACTTTCCTAAAACCCATCTATCTGGGTATATGCTCTATGGTAGAGATGTCAGCATTCCATTGTGATAACCCATAGAACATCCCTATAGTTTTAAAATTTTATCTTGGAAATAAAATGAAATGTTAAGTATTTTATTTTATTGTTAAATCTTAATTGTTGAAAGTATTACATAGGTCCCCCTGATTCCCCCATTAACCTCTTCCAGCCCACTCTGGTCCTCCCCCCTCCCTCCAGGCCCTCACCACCTCACTGTCTGTGTCCATGGGTTATGCATATATGCATACAAGTTCATTAGTTGGTCTCTTCCCACTCACCCTCCCCTGCCTTCCCTCTGAGGTTCAACAGTCTGTTCATGCTCCTCTGTCTCTGGGTCTCTCTTTGATCATCAGTTTATTTGGTTCATTAGATTCCACATAGGAGTGAGATCATGTGATACTTATCTTTTTTATGTTGTTTAGTATCCAAGTTTTGGGAAAATTTTTCTGTTACTGATTTCTAATTTGATCAGGATAATTTCAATTCAGTATAATTCCAATTCTTTTATGTTTGTTGTTGTTTCTTTTGTGGCCTACACTATGATCTGTTTTTTGGTCAATGTTCTATGAACTCTTGGAAAGAATATGATCGTTTGCTATTGTTGGAGTATTCTATAAATGTTGATTAGATTCAGATTGTTGATGGTGTGCTTGAGTTTTGCATCATTGCTGATTTTATTGTTTAGTTTTATCAATCATTGAGAGAAGGGTTGCTAGACTCACTAACTATATTTTTATGGAATTTCTCCTAATTCTATCAGTTATGTTTCATGTATAGTTCTTTAGTTTGGTGCATTTATGATTGCTATGTCTGTTTGGTATATTGGTCCTTTTATCATTTTATAAGGTTCCTCTTTGTATCTGCTAAATTGCTCTGAATCCTTTATTTGATATTAATATAGCCACTTTTGCTTTCTTTTGATTTTTATTGCATGGTATATCTTTTTTATGTTTGATTTTAAAATACCTAAATTGTTACATATAAGGTGAATTTCATTGACCATGCATGTAATTAGATCATGATTTTTTTCATTCATTCTGCTAATCTGCCTTTAAAAAAATATATATTTTTATTGATTTCAGAGAGACAGGGAGAGGGAGAGAGAGATAGAAACATCATTGATGAGAGAGAATCATTGATTGGCTGCCTCCTGCATGCTTCCCACTGGGGATCGAACCCACACCCTGGGTACATGCCCCTACTAGGAATTGAA